TGAGAAAATACAGGCTGGGAAGGAGAGTGCAAGGAATGAGTGGTAAGGTGGGGTGAAGGAGAAATGTATGGAGGGGAAGAAGGAGGGAAACAGCATGAGAGGGATAAGATGTACATCGGGGGCGAAAGAAGAGAAGAAGGGCGAAGGGGCGAATGGAGCTGAACGGATAGAAAGAGGGAGGGAGTAACGATGGGAACAGTGATCTGTCAAAGCAGGCAGACTTCTCCTCCGCCCAGTAATCTGAGGTACAGTGTTTGTTTATCCTCTGTCCTCATTTAGACACAGGGACAGACCTGGGGTGGGAGGGAAGGCTGTTGGCCATCTCAGCAAGCCCATTTCCCCAACCCCTATTGTGTAGTGAATACAAAATAGTATTTGGCGAACCAAAAAACCCTCCCTGAGGTTTCTTTGGTGACAACTGAAATACAGATACAGGGCTCATTCAGGACACTTTCCCATGCAGGGAACAAATGATTAACATTCTCAGAATTCTCCAAATCTTTTATTCAGATAGTCAAGGCTGACTGTATCTGTAAAGTCTGAAAGCACATCCAAAAGCCTCTACTTTGTGTTTTCTGAGGCTCTGTGCTGCGACAGCATCTGATTCTCCTCCGTGAGCCAACAGAAACATCTCAATCCCACACACTTAACACTCACACAAAAGAGGTGATGCGAAGGGACACGAGCGCGCGAGTGTGCACGATGACGAGTATGTGTTTTGGTCTATTCAGGCTTGGCCCAGTCTTTTATAGCTTAGGTGAGTGGGGCTCAGCTCAATAGATGTGACTGGGCTCAGAGTTGTACTCTTTCTCATCTTTTCTTCCAGTCACAAAAAACAGGGAGAACTCAGGACAAAAGATCCAATTACATGGCAGTAAAAGCAAAAGAAACAAACCCAGAAGTTGAGCTCACAAAATGTGCCCACGCGGACCTGGACTCCAGCAAATACACGCTCACACTACCATGCACCCACACACACACACACACACGCACACACACACACACACACCACACACACACACACACACCACACACACACACACACACACACACACACACACACACCACACACACATACACACACACACACACACACACAGACAGTTTAACACGCTCCACGAGTAGCAAAGAAAATGGGAAAATAGAGAAAATCTTCTGTTACAGACAAATTACACACTCGTTCTGCAGGGCATTAATGTATCATTAACACGGATATATATAAAACGGTTTAGTCAACAATGACTTAAGGAATTAAATTCAACCTTATTACTGATGCAGCATGAAATGTTAAAACATTCAAATAAAAGAAAAAAATTGTGTAAAAACAAAAAAAAAAAAAAACCAAACAAAAAACAGCTCATCCAATGAAAATATAAACACAAGAAGAAAGGAAAAAATCTTCTACATTCAAGCTTGTTTACATACAGTTTCCCATTGATGACTTGATTGATTACTGCATTTTTGTTTCATTTTTTTTTTTTTCCAGTAATAATTTTTAGACTTTCGGAAAGGTTTTTTTTTTCTTTGAAACAAAAGTGTGTGACATTGGTGAAGAAGACGCGCTTGTGAGTCGAGCTGCGGAGTTAACTATGTGGGCTGCATTCATAAAAAAACTTGCCAAATCCTCTCTCCCAATGCCAAAATGCTTATTCAGCTATTGACTTTTGTTTGGTGTAATTTCGAAGCAGACAAAAGACAACTTCAATAATTCATAGAGAAACAGAAAATGTAAAATTCAATAAGACAGTCAATACATGAGGGTTAACAGGCAAAATGTGGGGCATCATGATTTAAGAACTTTTATAAGACGAAGTAGAGATTGCAAACAATTGTGTGAATTTGATTTGCATCATTTTGTGATTGCAGCCAAACATACATGCATTAGTAAACAGCACTGTAAATAATATTTGTAGATTTTTATAGTTGACACCGTCATTAATTCCCTAATTTTTAAAGAGAATTTAGTGCACAGTTCAACAATTTAATCTTACTAGTTATTATTAGTATGTATTTTAAGTTTGCATTTAAATCAATTTAAATCAATCTTCGAAACAAGCCATTTAATTTGAAAACGTATTCTGATAATTACTGAAACTATTCAATACCGACAGAAAATGTCATGGTAACGTTTTTTTTTTTTTTTTGTACGCATGAATGATTAATTGACTAAACAATCAAAGTTTGTAGAAATGAGACATATTGGTAATTTACAACCGTATCCACGTGGCAAAACACGAGTCTTAGGGATGCATGGGAAAAGCGTATAAAAATGACAAAAGCCTGGCCCCTCCTTCCCATACTAATTACTAGCTTGGTCACAAACTGTTGTGGGATGGCGTCCTATTCTTCAACCAGCATTTCCCACAAGTCAGCTGGCATACTTGTGTCACTCTTTCACAAAGAACACACCCAAAATGATCCCACAACTGTTTAATGGCGTTGAGGACCTGTTATTCCGTTCCCTCCACTCCTGGTAAACTCTGATGTGATCACACGATCACACTAACTTCACTAATTTATATTGGCAAAGAGGATTTACCAAGGAAACCACCAACTCAACTCTCCTGCTCAACCCACAAATGCATTTGCCTTTCAAATATGCAATTGAAAAGGAAATAAACCATTTTTTCTTGATAATTGTCAAGAAGCTTGATACAACATAGATAATGTTAAGTAAATATAAAGATCTTTACATTTTATGCAAATTCTATATCTAAAATAACTAAAGATAAACTTATTAAACAGCTCTACAAAACAGATTTAAAGTGGTAGACATATGTGAAGTTGAAATACATATTTCAAGGACATTTGTCAAGAACACCTTTTTGAAATCACAACAAAAGACATGTTTGTGCTTGAAAGATTGTTTTGGAAGCATGCAAAAGTTGATGTTTTTAACCGTGGCTAAGTGGAGCAATATGAGCTTTTGTCAGTTTGAGTGGTTGTTCTGCTGGTTTATTTTGCCTCTGTGAAGTTCAGTGAAAGACCCACCGACTGGCTACAAAATAAATAAATAAATAAATATCTGTCGCAGAAAATTAAAAACAAGAAAATTTTCTCGACACAGCGAGCGAAAGCCTTGCAAAATGTTCTCTCGCTTAGTCACTGCCGTGTAGCCATGGCTTCACACACACGCATACGCACGCCAACAAGCACACACATTAAAAACACACATGCATTGAGGTCTAACCTAGTAAACTGGCTCATAGACATTTAGAGCTGTTAAGGACAGAAACCCTTACATACAATGCCTTGCAAACGTACTATGTCAGTTGTACTTGTTTTTTGTTTTGTCATGTTACAATGGAGCAATTAAAGGAAAAGGAACATGGTGTTCAATTGCTTTTTTTTCTTCCATAAAACCTTGCAAAGTGTGTCTTGCATCTGTAGTCAGTCATCCATAGCCAATACTTTGTAGTCACCATTCAGGAGTTTTCTCTCGTATCAGGGTTTTTTCCATAACATTTTTGCAATATTCAGATTTTTTCAAGAAGCACATCGTTACCTTTTAATAAATTTTTATTTATTGTATTAAATCCTGACTTGATAAATAAATACATGTTTTTTTGTTGGTTCCCCCCCACCCCCCCCACACTTTTAAACAGGAACCTTTTATGTTGCTGAATAGAAAAAAACGAGGAAAAGAATAGAATACGTAAAACATTTAATCCAAATAGAAAGCTATCATTTAAGTTAAGGACTAACTCGAAAACAAACTATAAAAATAAAAAAAAGAACTTTAAATTTTCCTGGGAGGGTTAGAAACAAGAAGACTGGTAACTGAACATTATGCAAAAACACTAACAGGCAACTTGTTATAGTGCGCCTCTAAATTGGGCGCTTATTGTTGTTCTCAAAGAAATGGTAAAAATGAGCTCCATCAAGAAGTCACGAAGGCCCTCACCATCAACCATGGTCATTGGTACAATGTTATGATGTTAAAATGTCTTTTTATTCTATTTTATTTTTTACTTAATGCCCTCTGATTTATGCAGTGTCAGCACTAGTTTTTGGTTGAGATTGTGATGCTGTCTCCAATGTAGCTAGGCTGAATGAGCACTATCAAAACTTAAGAAGATTTTCAAGTCTTTCTATTTCAAAACATCACCACATACAGTGAATTTTGCATCTGTGTCATCATTCAATGGAGTACAATAGTTCCACACCTGCCTAAATTCCACAATTCCACTGTTTCACTTTCCCCGTGGGATACTCCTGCCATGATTGTTTCTCTTACAACCATCAACTGGCTCAGCTTACGAATGAGCAGTGGTGCCCTCTTCTGGATGGTGGCCACACTACAATCCTGAAAGGACGTCTATCTAAGCGAACATTATTTGTTAATGAAATAGAACCATTTTTTAACCAAATAAACCAATATATGTATGCACTTATACACGACAGGTATACCTCCAACAAACATGCATGTACACACAAACCCATTCCCATAAAAGAAATAAAAAACAAAAAAAAAACATTAGGTGCCTATAGTCAGAACTCACAAGTTAACACACCTCTAAATCCTTCCAAGAATTAACTGTGTTTAGCTCAATCTACCTTCTAATCAACTTCAATATCTCTGCCGGGGAAAAAAAAAACAAAAAAACAATCTCATGTCATGATGCTACTGACACTATGGATCACTGTGGGAATAGTGTGTTAGGGTGATTTGTTTACGCAAAATTTTATTTAGGCGTGTCAAAGTAAAAGGGGATAAATACATGTGCATGCCAGACTTCTCCAATTTTTATTTGCAAAACAAAGTTGAAAACCACGCATTCTTTTCCTTCCATGTGACAGGTACTCACTAGTTTTCTTTTTTGGTTTGTCACAGTAAACTTTGTTAATGTGATAAAAGCAAAGTAAAGTTTAAAGGATTTTGCAAGGCACTGTATGCAGCATCTAGGGGAACAACATATTCAGATACGGTGAGTTAGACGGTGTGTCTCAGATGTGCGAAACAAGCAGTGTGAGCACAGCTTCTGTAAATAGATACTTACAGGACAGGGAGTGTCCTCCTTTGGGCAGGTACTCATACAGCAAGGGGTTATCATCTCCTATCATCTCAGCCCGCAGCGACAGCAGGCTGTTCTTACTCATCAGCGCTGCCTTCAGATTGGCTACGGATGAGATGCCTCCGCCTCCCGCCCCTCCGCTGGCCTCCTCCGATTCGTTGGCGCCCAGGAAGCCCGACTCTGTGGCGAGAGTCTCTTCCTGCTTGAGGAAGAAATCGAGGCGCTCACCGCGGCTGTCTGAGCTGTTGGGTTCGGTCACGTCTGCCCCTGAACAGAAAAAAAAGGGAGGTAACAAAGGATGAGCATGCAGATCTGACTCAGTGACTCGAAATGTTTTTAGCGTCTGAAAAAGAAATTTAATAATGTTTGATGTCTCCCAGAGAACACTGATAATTAATTTCAGGGATTACACGCTTCTCTACAGGCTGAAAATCCTGTCACTCTTGACAAAGCGGATAAAAAAGGCATGTTAAAACCCCCAAAACTCTTACAATGTGCTCATGAAGTTGTCACTTTGGCATTATAAGAGCTTTGACCTGATGACGGAAACAGCTGAAGTACAAAATATAAATGCAAAAAAAAAAAAAAAGAATAAAATCAACATTTACACACAGTGGTTTCAGAAGCAAGTACCAAAGCGTCACAGCTCTGATTCATCTCCCTCTCTGCTTGACTCCCTAACATATCTCATCATTACCAGTCAACACTAAAAACAAGGAGATCATAAAGAGACAGTAAGAGAGACAGAGAGAGAGAAAAGGCAGATACAGCCGTAGCGTGCTTGTGTGTTTGTTTCGTCTGCATGTGCGCATTTAACTATCAGAGTCACTGAAAGCAGGGAGACGCTGTCAGCCGCAGACGTTTCGCTGTAGATCCACGAGACTGTCAGACAACACTGGTGACAACAGCGCACCAAACAGGCATGCACGCACAAATCTAAAGACATACACTGTCTCCTAATTGACATTTACCTGATGCAAGGTTGCTTTCTCTTTGGAGGAGAAAAATACAGAAGACACATCGCTAGCTTAGAGACATTTAAGGAAAAGCTTGTCTACATCTAAAGCAAACACAGACATCTGAGCTATAATGCAGATTTGCCTTAAAGGCGGTGGGAGGTGGTGCATAATGATGTGTGACTGCTCCTAACACAAAGCTTCAGAAATCCTGCTATGCAGCGACTTATACATACCCAATTGTTTTTAGCATGATAATCACAAACTTTTTCAGTTTTAAAAAAGCGTTTTGGATGAAAGGTGAAGTGCCTTCAGCAAAAAAAATAAAAAATAAAATAAAAAATAGTCAAGTTACCCTCTCCTTAACCACTGAGAAAAGTCTGAAAAGTGTGGTGTGCATTTATGTTCAGCACTATTTATTCAATACCTCTGTGTAAAATTCTTATTCAGACAATTGCTTTCAGGGTTCATCTGCTGAAAAGAGAAATAAAAAAAAAAACAAACAGCCTAAGATATCACTGTTTTCCTAAATTTAATGCAAATATTCACAGCTCAGGTGGGTTAATCTGTCGAAAGGACAACTATCAGTCATACAAGAGAGGGAAGAAGAAAGACATTGACGGATGTTTGCTGCCGTACATAAAACAGAGATGGAAATAGGAGATCAAAATGCACAAATTTAAGTGCAGAGAAACCACACAGTGAAAAAGGTGGTGGCAGCAGCATCATTCTGTGGGGAATGGGAACTGGGTGGAGTAAAAATACAGGAAGAAAACCTGCGGGAGGCTGTAAAGCACGTCGAACTCAGGCAGTGATAGTCAGATCTAAAATGGAACATTTTCATAAATCTGTTAGAATAAAATTCAAACTTAAATCCAACTCAAAATCTGTGGCGAACTTGGAGGCTGTTGTGCACAGATGCTCTCCTTTCAATTTGACTGAGTTTGAGATTTATTTATTTTTTGCAAAGAAAAAGGGCAAACATTTCAGCCTTTAGATATGTAGAGCTGTTAGAGAATTGTAGCCCAAAAAGACCTGCGGCTGCAATAGTAGCAGTTCTTCAAAGTATTAACTCTGGCCTGCTGACTAAAAATGCTTCCCACTGTTTTTTAGAGTTTTATTGAAGAGCAAGTCTAAAATCTTGTGCGATTTTCTCTCGACTGCACAATTGTGCATTACTTCTTGCTGGTCTTTCACACACAATCCCATTTAAATAAATTGAAATGTGTGGTCGTCACAAAGCAGACAATTGAAATTTCACTTGCAGCAAATGAGGAATAAATAAAGCAAAGGAAAACACCAGTTTGATGAAGGAGTATGCGAAACAGAAATGAGCAGCAAAGAAAATGAAAGTGTCTCTTCCAACTAAGTCGAGCTCGGGAAAAAGTGTCTGCATGTGCAGCTCAGAGCTGCTGTCTACTGCAGGGGGAATCAAGGTGGTCAAGGTGACAGAAACAGTAGTTTGCCTGCACGTCTGGAATACCGATGGATCAACAGTGTTCACACACACACAAAATCGGACATTTTTCATGACACTCAGATCAGTCCTGAGGATGGATGTCCTTTCTGTATGCATGTACATAGATTTGAGCAATCTTGAGATCCCAATTAGATATAGTGGCTAGAAGAAGATGAGCTGTGACAAATAAGAGTGACATCCATATAAAGTTGTCTTTTCCCCATTCAACTATCAGACTCATCAGATGATAGGAAAAAAGGAGATACAGAGGAATAGAGAGAAGGCAGATAAAGCAAAAAGAAAAAAAAATGTAGATGAGAGAAGGGAGTATAGCTAGGGAAGAGGCAGAAAAAAACATACTTGCATGCATCCACGCACACACACACAAATCCATCCCACCTGCACTCACACTCACACAAACACACAAAGTTAATTAAGAAGGGGGTGCAGGGGTTGGCGCAAGGGGCACAAGGTGCAGGAATTCATTAGAGCTCTGCCCCCTCCTTCAGTGGGCAGCCCAGCAGCCAAAGGAGTCAATCAATAACATAGATCTGCTGTTGGCCAACAACAACAATACACACACAGAGAGAGCAAAGGGAGGATGACAATTGGAGGGAGAAGATGGGAAGGAGGGAGAGAAAAGAGCATCATCTCTGACCCCCATGTGTCCCACCACTCATCTGTTTATTGGACGACTAAATGAACCCTGACCAGTCTTTCTAGCGTCTTCGGAAGACGAACATCCACAGATGGAACATGTCGGCCCTCCTCGCACTCATACAGTAACAATGAATCAATCACGAGTCGCTCAGTTTAGTCTTATGGAAAATGGGTCACATCAGGAATGTCAAACTGTTTTTAAAAAAGGTGTAAATTTGCAGGTGTTTTACACAAGAGTGACTGGAAGGGGTCTGTTTTACAGAAGAGTTTATCTTTTTTAAGAAAGCAGATGAACCTGAATAAAAAAAAAAAATCAGTTATTTAGTTTAGATTAATCACGTACAGAGAGATGCATTTTTCAATCACAGAAGGTCATCACTTAAGAAGCTGGCTGTTCACAGAGTGCTGGATCCAAAGGTTTTACTGAGAAGTTGAATGGAACAAAAGAGCGCGGTTGAAAAACATATTGTTCAAGACTTTTATGGACAAACACAAGATGCAGACTACTGTATTGAGTCAATGCTCCAAGAGCCCCTACACACATAAATATCCAGGACATGGGCTCCTTGTGTTAACATATTCCTGAACCACAGACAACATCACAAACGCCTTAACCTAAGGAGGAAACAGAGTGGGCTGCTGCTCAGTAGCCATTTGTCATTCATTTTTAATGTTGCAGAGTGGAGAGGCACACAGTCCAAACTGATTGAGGCTCAATATGAATTTTCTGGAGTCAGTGATAATTGGGAGCCGAACTCTCTGCTGGTTTTGGTTCATGTGAAAAGTCAGCACAGCCAGCTACTGAGATATTTTAGAACACTTCATGAGAAGATGGAGATGCTGAATTAATTTACCAAAACACACTTCAAAAAGTACCAATTTATGCTGTAATGACCAAGGTATGACTGTGCTTTACAGCAAACTCACCTCAGCTCCACTAAACAAATCTACTGCGTATTGTCAAGAAAAGGACACCAGAGCAAACTAAAGGAGTCCCAATCAAGCATTGACTGCAAGCATGTTCAGTACATGAACATGCTTTCAGTAAGTGGACATATGTGTGAAGTAAAACATATTTTTCATTGGCAAGGTGCAATATTCTCTTATTCTGAGAACAGAAATTTCTTTTGTATTAGCTGTAAATCACAATCATCAAAAAATGATTGGAAGTATGTCAGTCTTTGTGTAATGAAACAAACTTTTCAAAGATATTCTAATTTATTAATGTATACCCACACATCCAAGACTTGGGGTAGAATGAAAAAATAATAATTCAGCCAAATGCAAACAGACTTTAAAAACACTTAATCAAAATGTTCCCTGTAACCCCACTTAAATATTGAGCTTTGACTGGCCTGTACTGATGGTGTTATCCTTGAACAGCCCTCTGCTCGGACAGATAATATCATTTACGGCACCAGGAACAAGTCGCAACTAATCCCGAGGTTCCATCCTATGGATTTCATCATTCCTGTGCCTGGTTTGGTTTTCATCGAGGATTTGCAGACACACAAAACGTGGCGTCTTTCAAACGCAATAGGTTTATCTCGTGTTGTAGAGACACTGTGGTTACATCATTCCTTCATGCACAATATGCTCAGTGTCATGAGACAACCTATGAATTTCAATAGCAAGAGATATGCCTTTGAACTACATGGTCAGATCAACCCCCCCAAAAAACAAAGACATTTTCTTCATCATTTTTTTTCCCGCTCTCAGTTCCTTTCTTCTGCCTTTACACTGAAGCGGTTTCTGTACAGTGGAAAGAATTTTCATTTTCCCCTTCATAAAAGAGTCCGAATAATTTAGATTTCTGCTTTCTGAAGAGATCCTCCGTTTAATTTGGTTGCCATGGCAGCCAGGCACCCTTGGCTTCAACATTTATGCTAAATAAATCCCCTTTTTAAAAAAAAAAAAAAAAAGAAGGAGAGACAAATATGTAGAAATGGTGGTTCTCTTTGTTAATGCGAGCGACGCTGTAAGCTATGCGAGAGCCGAGCGTAAAAAAAAAAAAAATGGACTGAGACGCGGAATAAAAGATATGCATTTGACTGTACTTTATACGTGTTGGGAGGAATACTGAGTTATGGCTAATGGATAGAGGATGCAGTTTTGTATGCTGTGGTTGGAGACTGCCCTGTATTTCTCACTGATATGTGTGAGTGTGCGTGTGTGTGTGTCAGGGATGGTGT